TAGATTTTTTTTCTTTCCAGGATGGTGAGTCCATCTTTTCTTTTTTAATACATTCTTTTTGCAGGAACAGCCACAGAAACCTCAAAGTGACCTTGTGCAAAGGATCTGCAAGGAGTGGAGGGTTAGTTCTATGTCTCTGGAGCACTAAGGGCACGCTTTAATGGTTGCTTTTGACCCAGGCAGAGTAGCACAAAATCCCAGGGTATTTAGAAGGGTCCTCCATGTGCATCTGGGACTGATCCCCTCCCAGGACCCCACCCCCCACAAGAATCCTGCCCACAGCTTTACAGCCTGCAACCTGATCTGAAGTCTTCCTGCAGAGCCGCTGTCACTCTCCCTAACTTCCCTAATGCTGTACTTCTATTATAGCCCTGCAACATTATCCTCCCACGTGCTCCCTGCTTTGTCTTATGTCCTGAAGTGCCCAGCAGTGTCCTGGCCACCAAACCTAGAGCCAAGAAAGGAGCGCAGGGAACGTGCTGCCAGGGAATCAGGTTGACATGAAAATCGTTGGAGTCAGGAAATTCCAGGGCCCTTAAGTCATCTGGGAAGACATTTGACATGAGAGGCCAAGGGAGGGGATCAGGTTGCCTCCCTGTGAGTAGGAATTGAGATTCCCCATCAGGAACTGGTCTGGCACGGAGATGTCTGAATCTTTCACTCTGTAGGCAAAGTGTGGATATTTCCATCTCTTTGAAATTTCCAGAAGGAATTAACCTCCACTCACTGCCTCTTCACATAGTTGCTGCATTCTTTTATTATTACTAGTTATCTCTGACATGTGCAGAATTCATTTAGTGTACCTATTCACTTGGTGGTAAAAGATGATATCTAAAGCTGAACCCCTAAGATACTGAAAGGATTTTACTGTTTCAATGTGCCGGTCCAGCAAAGAAAGTCCTTTATTGTTATTCCTTGGCTCATGTGATAGTTTAAACATTAATCTATGTCCGGGGTGGAATGATGTGCTGGGGCTTGCGCTGTGGAATAGAGCAGTGTATGCTGACACCTTTGCTATCTTCGCAGGCCACTGCTGTTGCTGGGACTCTGCTGTGTCCCAGCTCCCTCTGGGTAGCCATGTCTGACCTTGTCTCTTTTCTGGTAGCTACTGTGAGGATGCCACTCATGTTCTGAGGGATGAAAAGGCACGTGCCCATCTTTTCTGTCTTAGCTGAAGGACTCACTAGCACCAGTTGCCTGACTATTAATTGGGAGCAGGGTTGTGACCCTGGGATGGGAATTAATGTTGGCCTTTCTGCTGGAAGGGAGCTGGGGCAGTTTTTCAGAACATGTTTGGGTCTTGGGAGACTGTGGCTGCTGATCCTAGCAGAAGGGCTACAGATGAGGATGAACTTTCACACGTCTTGAGAGTTGGCTTAGTGGCTTTTTATACTCTTCTGTGTTCTGTGTGTCACACTTGCTCAATGATTTTTGAGGGAAGGAAGCATTATGTGTTTCTTGGTGTCCAGCCCATGTGTATGACAGATCATTTTGTTAAAATTGAACTATGGAAGTAAAGTGATAGTCATTTAATGATGCTGTCGATGTGAGGCAAGGAACAGCAGGCAGTTCTGCTAAGGTTTTGGGATTCGCTTTGAGAAGGCTGGGGAGATCAAGGTGCTTCCTGTTGCAATCTGGGGCCAGCAGGGAGCACGTTGAGGCCATGGAGTGCTAGGAATAAATCAGAAGGTATGAATGGGGATGGTGTACAAAACAGCCACTGTTGCTGTTGATGACAGGGTTATACCTGCTAGTCACCTGAGATCCCTGTCTCTGCCCCAGCTCGGCGAAGAACAAGGCTACATGGGGATCCTGAGGACTGAAAGTCAAGACGGTCTCTCAGCCTTTCACTTCCCCCTGCTCTCCCCAGTCTCTGACCCAGAAGGGCCGTGTGTGCTGCAGGTGGCCTGGGTGACTCGAGAGGGCTGATGCTCAAGAGCTTTTTGAACCAGTTGTTAAACAGCTGTTATTAAAAATGAAATCATATAAATGGACAATTACCTAAATTCTGTTAAAAACTAAGATCATCTAGGGGTCTCCCTGGTGGCATAAGGGATTAAGCACTGCACTGTGAAGAAATCGGCAGCCTCTGCAACATGAGTTCGATCCCCAGCCGGCCAGGGAGGAACCCACATGGCACAGCAGACCTCTCCTGTCTTGCCCGCTGCTCTCCTCAGCAGTGTATTTCAGTCAGTCTGCCTCTTCTGTTCTCCACTCTGTCTCTGGTGAATCCTCTCACCACCTGCATCTTTGGCTTGTACCCCAGTTCTTGTATGCATAAATAAATCTTTAAAAAAAAAAAACTAAGATCATCATGACCCTAAATGTGTCACTTCCTAATTGTTTTATTACATTTCACTAGTACCTGTGCTTTTGGGGTTACTTACATCTCTTGTATCTGAATGGTAAAGGTACTCTGCCCGTGGCCTGCTTTGTATCTTTTTCCAACTCTATGCTCAGTCACTTCGCATTGGAGCTTGAATCAGACATGGCGGGTGTACTTATACCCCATACTTGCACATTCTGCTTCTCTCCAACCCAGAACAATTTCTTTCCTACTTGATTCTCTCCATCTGTGCTGAGTATGGACCACAGCCTCAGGTCTCTCAGACCCTTTGGAGGAGAAGCAGAATTTTTTAAAAAAAAATATCTATATTTTAAATTTTTCCATAGAAGAACTAGCATAGAGGTACAAGGGGTGAGAGAATTCACCAGAGACAGAGTGGGGAGCAGGAAAGGTGGATTTACTGAAATACACTGGTAAGGGGAGCAGCTGGCGAGACAAGAGAGGTCTGCTGCACCACATGTGGATTAGCTCCCTGGCTGGGATCGAACTCAGACATCAGAGGTGCTAAGTGCTGAGACTTAAGCCCTATGCCACCAGGGAGGCCAGAGAGGCAGAAGCTCTTTATCCAAAAACTACTTTCTTGGGGCTTGTATGTTTCCCAGGGTTGAGATGAAATAAATTGCTGTGGTTTAAAAGGTTTTTTTTTTAAAGATTTATTTATGTATGCATACAGGAACTGGGGTACAGGCCAGAAGTGTGGGTGGTGAGAGCGGATTCACAAGAGACAGAGTGGGGAACAGAACAGGCGGATTGACTGAGGTACACTGCTGAGGGGAGCAATGGGCGAGTCAGGAGAAGTCTGCTGAGCCATGTGGGTAGTTCCCTGGCTGGCAGGGGGATTGAACTCGTGCTGCAGTGGCTGCAGACAGCTTCATAAGTTGCGTCTTAACCCCTTGCACCACCAGGGAGGCCCTTGGTTTAAAGGTTTTTAATTATCTCTGTCTTCTAATCAGTTGATTATATGTGGGATTAAAAATAAAAGTTTTGATACAATTCAATAGACCAAGCGAAGTTATTAGTTAATGATGTCAGGAGTGAGAGCAGTGATTACAGCTTTATATATGGTCCAGTGTACAGGTAAACAGGCCCAGTTTCTAATGGAATTTTCCATCTAGGGAATGATAAAGCCCGATTTCAGTTCTCGGAGGACACTTAGCCTAGGAGACGCCTTCTGTAGGAAATCCTTCCTGTCTACTGCTTCCGCAGGCCGGAGGAGGCAGCTCCCCTGTGTATTTTCCCAAATCCTGCACGCACTGCTGACACCTTAGTACAGTGAGCGTGGCCAATGTGATTCCTGGGCTTAAATGCTTTCTCAGATCAGATGATCCATCTAGAAAATGCCAGTCAGGAATGCTGAACCTTGCCAGAATGCCTTAGTAGTTGTGAGGAGTGGTGTGTTATTAGAGAAATGGAACAAGTGAATCCAATAGGATTAACCCTTTTCATATGATTTTACTAGGGGTTTCCTACCAATACTGAAGAACAAATTCCTTTCATTCTGTTGAGGATAACCAGGAACAAGGAACTGCCCGACCTCTAAAGATGCTGATTCCTGACACGATGACAGTCTACATTTCTCCTGTTGAGGATAATAAGCAAAACTTTTCTATCAAAAGTGACTCATTCCTTGTTGGACATCTTACAGTGAGAGGATTATCAGACATTTATCTAGATGGTTTAAAGTAACCGCATATTTGCGTTCACTTTTCTCCAATTTCCTGTCATTTGGGAATGAGTCTTAGCTCACCAACTAGATAAATAATACGGGCCATTCTGACAATCTAAGAAATTCAGCATGGAGTTATAAATTTGGATTTCTTTGAAATGTTAATTTAAATTTCTGGTAAAATTATGTCTCTATATTTTTGAATTCATTGATCATCTTAAATGGAATGCTGGCTGCTGTGACAACCCCCAAATCGTTTTTTTTAAAAGATTTATTTCTTTATACATACAAGGGTGGGGTATAGGCCAGAGGTTCAGTGTGTGTGGGGGGAGTTAGAGGATTCACCAGACACAGAATGGGGAGCAGAACAGTCAGATTTACTGAAATACTGAGGGGAGCAGCGGGCAAGACAGGAGAGGTCTGCTGTGGCATGTGGGTCAGCTCCCTGGCTGGGGGTCAAACTCAGGCTCTTGCGGTGATAATGCTGAGACTTAACCCTGGGCCACCAGGGAGGCCCCCAAATGTTTATTGAGTGACTATTCATTGTATTGTGCCAGGTATGACCATACAATTTGAATAACTAGGGTTCCAACTGAGTCAAAGGAAACAGCGTGTTTTCGCCAACAAATTTGCCTTTTAAACTCCAGGACTGTTAATCCATGGTTATGTCAGCATTGTAATCCTGGTTTCCTCTCCCCAGATCTATGGCTTCCCCTGGGCCCCTCAGAGTAGAAAGTGGCACTGGCCATTGCCCAGAGAGCTCCTTCTCCCCTGTCCTCTGACCTCACTCCCAGATGTCACTTCTGTCTGTTCAGAATGCAGTTTGCTCCCAATCTACTTGCAGGAACACTTTTCCTCTTTTGGTTATGACCTGAATTTCAGAATAGTGCTTGTTTCAAACAACGATCGATGGCGATGTGCGGTGGTTTCTCCACACCAAGTCCCCACCTGGAGCAATCTGGGCTTACCAGGTTCTTTCTCTTGCAGCTGGACGACTGCACGCTGCAGCTCTCCCACAATGGCACCTACCTAGACTTGGAAGCCACCCTGGCAGAGCAGCGGGACGAATTAGAAGGCTTCCAGGATGATGCTGGGTAAGAGCGACAGTGTTCCCTACCTACCAAGAGATAGGGACTTACAACATGGAGACCCCACCCTAGCTGTGATCTTCTCTTAATTCACAATCACACACAAGAAAGGGAGTTGCCAGTGATTCACCAGTCGTTGAGACAAACCCTTTTCCATCTTAAGTAACTTTTCTTGACAAAGCTATACAGGGCTAGGCCAGTTTCTGCTACAGTCCAAGTACATGGTATTCATATTCTAAGTTTGTTTGAAACTAAATATTATATTTAATTTAGTATTCTCCAGATTTTAGTGAATTGACAGGGTTTTTTTGACAGTTATTTAAACTATTGTTTATGATGCTAAATTACTGGCTATTTAGTTTCTTTCGTGGATGCCTGAGTAGATCATTTTTATACTGTCTCATATTTTAAACTCATTTCAGTCAAGAAAATAATTTTTAATTATGTTAATTAGTATCAAGTGACTTATAGCCTGCATCTAGAATTACTTAATACTTTGTGTTGCTGTGAGCTTGAATAAAGCAATGCACATAAAAATCAGAGGTAAGATAGTAAAATCTCTGTAGGAATATATCAGTCATTCCAACATTTATTAAATTATTAAAGCAGTTTTCTGATGGGGCCCTGCCTGCCTTTCTGTCCTTCATCTACCTTGAACCAAGTATATGTGTGATTTCATCACTCTCCTCCTTAAAAACCTTCCCTATTGCTTTCTAAATAAAATTCAGCTTTCTTTATCGGGTATTTGCTCCCTCCCCCAAAGATGTTTGATGCTACCTTGTCTGAGTTAAAAATATACTATGGATAGATGAATACTATCTTATCTGAGTATACTGATTTTCTATAAGTGGCTCAAAAATTCAGGAAAAATTGGAATCTTCTTAGTGTTAGTTTCCTGCCTAACTCCAGTGTGCAGTGGGGGAATTCCTAGGTTTCCCCTGCTTTAACACTTATCACAGTTTATGGTCCTTGTTCTATTAATTGTCCTCAGCTGCTCAATCTCCACCAGATCAGAAGTGGCCTTAGTATCCAGCAGATAGCATTTCCTCAATATGGCATACAGTAATACTACAGCTGATTTTCAGCTGACATTGAAAATTGCAGTGTCCAGATACTGCTGGAAGTTACCCATAGCTGTTTCCCTGGAGCCAGGGAACCCTGCTGCAAACTCACTGAGTAGATCGGTGCTTACTTTTCACTTTGCTGCCTTTTGAATCATCCCCTGGCCCTGGGTCCACTGATCTGTACAGTGCTAACCAGTGTCTGCACCCTAACTGCATGGGATCCTGGGGAAAGGTGGGCTGCATGACTTTGCTTCAAACAGGGATGGATGCCCACACCATAGTGGGTAGCTACATATTAGACAGGTGTGCCCCAAATCATCCCACAGCAGGGCTAATGCCTTGAAATAATCGTTTGTGGCGATGACCCTTGTCTTTTGGAATATAGCGAGTATGATACTTCTGTTGGCCTGGAAGATCACGAAGAAGCCACCTTTCCTTGGCCTAAGTTGCCGAACACATCCAGGTTGGTGCTGTCTTGGCATTGCCAGGACACCCTTTGGGATCCCCAGGTGATTTCCCACAGCTGAGAACTGGAAGTACATGGCAAATTGCTGGGAGCTACTTGGGCAGCAGCTGCAGCCTGAGCCTCTGTGCACAGGTGGAAGGTGTCTGGGTACCTGGCAGAGTCACTTGCACTGAGCATCCCTCCTATGTCCTTTCCTGCATGTGTGATATTTGGCAGAGTCTATGTGCCCAAGGACTCCTGTCTCCCACAAATGAGAGTTAAAATATATATTTTTTCCTAGTTAAGAATTGCCTTTTTGAGGCATGAAAAATGGTAAATGAAATATTCTTTCTCTTGATTCCTTTGTGTAAATTTTAGCAAAATACCTCTAATTTTGTCATCATTGGGTGGAGATAGGTGGCAGGCTGTGTGAAAATAAGAGTGTTTTTTGTCCAGTGTGTTCTGAGTGAATTTTTCTTGCCGGAGGAGTTTGTGTCTTTGTTCTTGTCCATTACCCTGCTTGTTTATGCCAGGACTAAAAATTAACTCACTCTTTGTTTAGAATTATCACTCAAGCTCTAGCTAATCAGAGAGGCGAGGAAGACCTTCAAAAGTGGAAGGACGAGGCAGCCATTATGCTGGCTACATGGATCCCGGTCTGTTCATTGCCTCCAAGGCCAGGGAAGTTAGCAAGCCAGCCTGGTGCAGCAGAAAGAGAAGCCCAGATGCTTCTGGATTATCATTCCTGGCCCTGCTACTGTGGGACCTTGGGCAAATCACTTTACCTCAGATAGTATTTCATAAAATGAGTACAAGTATTAAATGTATTTGTAAAATTGGGAAAGTATAATCCAGTCCCATTTCCCTTCCTTTATCAGCAAGGACCCCAGCAAGGTCTCTGGCACAAAGGAATGCCAGAGTGGTTAGGGACACAGACTTTATGCTCAGTGTCACAGTTGTGGGGCTGTTACTTCACTGCTATGAACCTTGGTTTCCTTGTCAGTAAGGAGAAGCATAATGCTGTCTCCTTGGGTAATTGTGAGGTAGAATGCAATGATGTCTCTAAAACATTGAGCTAGTTCCTATCTAATACACCATCTAAATACACCATCTAGTAGCCATCTAAAATTACAGTCAGGATTTGAGAAGATGATCCATGAAAGTGGGAGTCACTGGGTTTATGCAGGTCAACCATTCTGAGACCTCATTTTTTAGTTGAGAAACCCAAGGCTAGAGCCTTGACTGGGGGCAGAGGTGGGCCCGAGCCCCTACCCTTTTTGCCTATTTTCACTCCCACTCTCTCTGAAAGGAAACCAGTGCCCGCTGAGGTCCACAGGGGACTATCATGGAGAAGGTGGGTTTGAGGTTAGCCCTAGAGTGGAGATAGTAGATGAGGTGGGTAGGAACTTGGTGGAACTAAAAGTGGGCGAGAGAAGTGTGATGTTTCAGGGACCAGGTGAGAACTAGCCTCATGGGTGGACGTGGTATAGGATCTCAGGTGCACCCTACTGTGAGTAACTCAGGTACCCACCTCTTCCTCAGCTTGGCACCCTCAGGCCTGTGCCAGATGGTCAGCTCTGGAAACCTCTATCTTCTGGGTGAGGCTCTTCACCTTCTCTCAGTTTCTTTATCTACCATGGTGGCTAGTAAATATTCTGCCCACCCCCACCTAACCCCTATTCTCACAGGTTGTGTGTGGGTGGGGAAAGTCAGAAGAACACCTATAGGGTGGGGTTTGGGGGAATCTCGGGGTTCAAAAATGAAGGATGTGAGGCCAGGCGGGATCAGGAAAGGCTATGAGGGGTGGGGCTGGCTTTGGCCCCCCTAACTTTGTAATGGATGTGCTTAAAGGGACAAAGGGGCTTGGGGACAGCTCTGGGACTCTTTGACATGGAACTTTCCAGTCTGTAACTCATGAGCTTTTAGGATTCGTGTGTGTGTGTGTGTGTGTGTGTGTGTGTGTGTGTGTGTGTGTAGTGTCCCACAATCCCCTGAGGTTCTCTGTAGCTTGGGGTAGTGTAGTGGCAGGAAGGCACAGAGCAGGATCTCTATGATCTGGGCAGATGGGTAAAGGAGAGTCCTGGAGCCCTCGGGGGCTTTTCAGGCTTTTATTGAGTGCTTTTTACACCATATGTAGTGTGGCAATCAGGTGCACAGCAAGCCTGGGGGCCGGGGTGGGGGCAGGAGGCTGGCAGGTCTCCCAGCCCCCTATGGCCAGTCTTCACTCTTTCTGGGCTCTCTGGCATTTCCTCGTGGTCTCTGCTTCTCCTTTGCTGTTGTGCTGGTTCCTCTCTTGTTCTAGTTCTATTGCTCTCGTTCTACTCTCTATTGGCATCCCCATGACGCCACCCTTTTAAGCCCAGTCTCTTAGCCCAGGTGTGCCCACCTATGCAGGCCCACACCCTGCTCCAGGTGCCCACCATCAGGCATGCATGTAGGACCTCAGGAGTCTATCATTAATGCTAGTGGCAGGAGGGGGGGAAATCCTGATAATTTTCATTTACCCTACAGGTAGGCAGGGGTTTTGGGTGTGGAGGGGTTTATTGATTCCCACTGCTCTTTGTATCCCTTCATGTCAAGGTTGAAGGAATAGGAAGTAGCTTTCCCTCGCATTTCAGTCACATCTGGATTTCCTCTGGTAGAATGGGAAATCAGCTGAAATATATTTTGAACTTAGGTCTAAAAACCTACTGAACCTGAAAAACTCAACCAAACAGAAAACAAGCCTTCATGTCAAAAGAGAGGTTCTGGTTGGGGTGTGGTTGGGAAGCAATGGAGAATTTTCCTCTTAAATGATTATTTTCAGTTAAAGGCTCAAGCCACAGTCCACCAGGTCATATGGGGGAGAAAAGCAGCCCTTTCAAACAAAAGGTGCCTTTGGGGTGAGTTCAGAGTTGAGCGCCCTGCTCATGGCTCTGTGCTAGAGGTAGGCCAGGGACCTCCAGACACCCTGGGAGAAAGCTGTTCAGAAACATTGGTTTCTAATATCTGCTTCAGAGGTTTGTTGTTGGATGCAGGAATCTTGCCTTTAAAAATTCCCCAGGTAGTCAGATGCTTGGTGGGGAACCTATAGCCTTGAGTCTCAATCTTGGAGAATATTGCAACCACCTGAGGCATTTGCACACCGCCCCTCCCACAGCTAGCTCCCTACCAATGACATCAGAACTTGTGGGGGTGGGCCCAGGCACGCTGCTTTTTAAAGTCCCCTCCAGGTGATTCCACTCCCTGAGGGAGACCATTCCTGAAAACGCTGCATAAGTCAGGCGGGAGAGCAGCCGCTCCTGTGCTGGGTGGGCCGTAGAGCTGGCACGGCTGGAGCCACCTTCACACACCAGCTTGTACTAGGGGACAAAGACTGCACCAGGTAGGAGTGGGGGAGCCCAAGGTGGGTCTGGGCTTTACAGTGTATGTTGGAATTGGACAAAGAAAACAAACCTACAAGTGGGAGCTCTCATGGAACCCCTCATGTGATGGGGGAGGGCAAGTTGGGCACCTAG